ATGGGACTTCCTGCTGGGAATCAATAACTGATGAATGGAGAGACTTTTTTTTCATATTCCTGCTCAGACTAATATTTAGCTATGTGTATTCCACAGGACAGTGTGTTGGTAGCACTGCTTTGATCTATGCACGCTGTCTTTGAACAGGAAGCAGGAAGGTTTCCTTCCAAAAATTTTAGTCAGTTTTGTAGATGTGGTTTGGATGTATATGATCTTATCTATGTGTCTAAAATCTATGTGAAGTACGGCTATAGTTTGCACTAAAGTGCCGGAATAAAAAGCATCTTCTCTCATTGCGCTCTGAAAGTTTTTTCCTATCTCTCGTTCCAAGACAGTGGTAACAGTTTTAACAGAGTATATGTACAGTGAAGCTTCTGGGCTCAGCACAAGCATCAAAACGCCTTTCTCATCAAGCAGGGACCCAGATTGGTGTGAAATAAAGATGTGCACTGCTGTCGGCTTTCTTAGAAAGAAGGCAGGAGCCAAAAAGTAGAAATGCTGGCATCTTTTATTGTGCCAAGAAACTTTGCCAAAAATAGAATGGGATGAAACGCAGCGCCAATTAATCTGCCAAAGACTTTTAGTCAACTAAAGACATAAAATAGAGCATTCCCAGAGCCTGATCACGCAGTGGTTACAAACCTGTAGGTTAAATTTTCACCCAACGAAAGCAAGAGAAAAATGTATTTAAGTAAATCAAACGGCTGCATTTAAACAAATCAGCCAAGCAACTAATTGCTTAAGCTCTAATCTGTTTCATTGCCTCCTCACCATTTCTGAAGAGGGACCTGCGTGACTGGCCTCCATTGAGAGGAGGAAGTGACTTCTTCTCCTGGCCCACAAAAGTATCCCACCGCACCTTTTCTGGTCCTCCGAGCTCTCTGGCTTTCTTCAGACAGCCTTCCAAGTATTCAATGGGGTCATCGGGCCGGTAGTACATCAGACCTGTGAGCAGGCTCTGGAGGAAACAGTGGAGGAAGATATTATGATGTATACAGTTTCATACAATATTTAGAGAAGGGATGTTCACTGTGGCAGTGCTGCAGCTTTGTTACGATGTGCTGCTGTGGAACAGCGTGGCAGTGCTCGAACACACCACCTTAATGAGGGGAAGTTTCGAACTGCAGAGCATGGTTGCCTTAGCCCGGCTCCACCAGAGCAATAAAAATCTCATTTTGCCAGAAGTCCATGAAATTGGCTTCAGCCTGACAAATACACACATACCCCTGATGACCTTGGTGTTATTGTCGAGCAGCACTGACTGTGATGAATATGAAAGCGAACTCGACAGCCAAAACACAAGCGTATGTTTGTGTGACATTTGTCCTCTCGATCCTGTTTTCAAAACAATACCTTCCTCTGGGATTTCATCTCCACTCTCACTAACATCTCCCACCAGCAGCACGTTGTGAAGTTTCCTGAAAACAATTTGTCGTGCTCATTTTCTGATAATGAATACACTGTTACGGGGCAGCAGTGTAAGGAATGAAAGGCAAAGGCAGTTATGATGATGATGACGATGATGTGCCACTTCAGTGCTCAATGTAATTTGAACTGACTGTAAATAAACAGGCACTGATTGCTTGCATACATTAGCTTGACTGCAGCAGGGGAATGAGTGTAATTAAGAGGATGAGCCAATTTAGCATCCCCTCAGGAGAAAGAATATATTTCATTATCATATTCCTGTGAGCTCTGATATGTGTCTCTGCTTAGGAATTAATCAACTTAATCGGACTTTGTATCTCTTTCACCAGCTATGACCATCTGTAACTTTCGTATTTACGTAATATCCCAGCAGACTTCAATAGCAGTTATATATATACGAGGGAGTTTGTAAAATTATGATTTCCCCTCTTATTTTAAGCTACTGTTTAATCCTGAAATACGCTTTCAGCCCACGTGATCCGCACCTCTATACCGTCAGATAACGTAAAGGAAGGATCTTTACCGTGACTCTGTCATGCATCTTGCAATGCATGGAACATGAATTAGTGTACTCTCCCTGAGCGCGAAACATACCCAGTTTGTCTCTTCAAAGCGTGCACCAGCTCTCACCTCAAATAGTTGAGGTATCTCCCGCCGCGCGAGATACTCCTTGGCATCGTTGGTATTCATCTCTAGACGGAAATCCTCTGAAATGACAACTTCTCCAAAGCGTTTGATTTTCTTTTCCTTTCTTCAGACGACTCGGTGCAGTAATCTTTGGTTAATAACTGAGCTCCGGACAGACTCTCGCTCAGCGCATTTTTGCCTCCTGTTTGTACTTTACAACTGAATTCCTGCAGGCAATTCCACCGCGCCACCCTCTTCGCTCGCTGATGCAGATGCGTGGCTTGTCCGTCTTCCCTTCCACAGCGGACTGCTTCCAGCACGCACCGACTGTTTGTGTGTGCGCGTGTATGTGCCTTGACGTTGGGTTGGCACAGAGGTTGCGCGCCGTGTGCCAAAAAGCGCACGCACCGCCTCTGCTCTACATTTTCAATCGTTCCTCCTCAGTCTTGAAAGTTGGTGTTGATTCATGATTAATTCGATCGTGGGTTATAAAATGATGGTATAAAGCGGATCAAATATGGTAGCGTCTACATAGCTGAAATATTCTACTTTTATTTCAAACTTTTGAAAAAAAAAAAGCTTATCAGATATGAGTCCATAAGAATATGAATTTTGAATATGTTTATTTTAAGTAACCATATTTTGTTACTAAAATAATTATGTTTCAATTCAGTGTTTGTAATGGAGTAGTTTTACTTTGGTAGCACTTTATTAAGCATTAGTAAGATATTAGCAAGTGTTTAATGTTACTGTTAATGTTTACTGTTTACACCATCTACAGCTATAACTGCTACTACATCAGTGCTAGTAATAATCATAACCATAATCCTAGTCATAATAATATATATTTATAAATGGCAAACTAAGGAGGAGTAATGCTATATAAAAGATGAATTTACCACTTGCTAATGCCTTACTAATACCTTAACAATGCTTAATAGTGTGACATTATTATATTATTATATATATTATTATTACTTCTTCTGAAATGAGAGATATTTATTGACTCCAGAAAACTAAATGGATGGATCTATCCATTTTCCTTCCCTCATCCAATTAGGCTGCTGCAGTCTATTCCAGTGGGTGGGGTGGGGGGTGGTCTGATTTTCTTAATATTTCCATTACTTCCAGAGAATAAAACATGCAACACATCCCAATGCCCACTGAAATGTGTGTCAGTCTTTACTTCACATTTTAATTGAATTTGTAAATACCTTTGTAAATAAACTCCACATTCATACATACAAAGAAGCTCACTGGACTTTTGTAAAGACAACTTTGAAATTGTGGCATTATTGAATTGACTAACAGAGTGGAATAACCCGAACAACCTAACTCTAGGTGCAGCTAAATATAGCTGGATAATCTCTTAAATTGCTTAACAATGTATATTTTTGTTTGAGGTTGGGTTGAAAAGTTCAGCAAAAGGTGGATTCCAGTGGACAGTCAGTCCAGCTTTTTTAGGCAACTCAGGAAGGAAGGTCACTTTGATTTCCTGGTTTGTTCCATAGGATTTGATTCTTAATGCCTCTAATCCTCTTGACCACAACGGACTTGTTTGTTATATCACATAACATGAGATTAGTTCAGTCACATCAATGCTTTAGAAAGCAATTATCATTCTAACTTGTTACCATTTCATACCAGAATCAGTTACTGCAGCTTGAAAATAAAATGTTAATTTATGGACTGAAGTTGAGTATTGAGCACATGTACGCTGCTGAGACCTGCTTTGTTAGAGCAGTTAACAAAGGACATTACCACGATGAGCTCCTAGCAGGCACACTACTCGAGGAAGCAGGTCAAAAAGTTGCAGAATCAGGAGACGTACCGAGGACTAAAGTGGCTGGCAGTCCTGCAAAGGCTCCCTGCAGTGTGTCAAAACTGATTTTGCTGCTGGTTTCCCAGAAAATCTTCTGTGTGCTGGGTTGTGAAGTTGCATTAGAATTGCATGGGAGATATGTAGCTCTATTTCACAATGGGCTCCTGGCCTCTTTGACTTCTTTAGCAGTAACACCACGAGACTTTTAATGTCTACTGCCTGTAATATACTTGTCACTTCTCATTACTGAGTCCCTGACCAATTAGCTAACAAGGGCAACTAAATATGAAGCTGTCAGCATCATTTGATGACTAGTTTGCTTTTCTTTCTCTCATCAGGGCACCAGTCATATCTGGCAGAATGATGATGATGTCAGGTGTACTGCAGCCTCTTGTACTTAAAATAAGCAGCCACACAAAGGGGTTTTTTTTCTTGTATTTTTCTTTGGAATTAAAAATTGATGTCAATGAAAACAAACCAGCAGACAAGAAAACAAACAAGGAAATAAAGAAACAGAGAACATGAGCTTAACGTATGGATGGCGACCCTCGAGGAGAAACTAACACAACTGCTGCAACTGATTAACTAATAAAGTTAAAAACATTTTAAATGTCTATAAATTTCTCCAATAAACCCCAGCTTTTTTTTTATACAGAAACATTTTTTTTCTTCATTTACTTACATTAATTACTAGATCTAGAAAACGTTCATATGATGATGACGAATTCCGTCATTTGAAGGAGGAAACCTAACATTAACCCGTGCGTGCAAGCATGACCCTTCAGTGTTATGGGAACAGGATTAACTTGAATTGGGTTAGTTATTCTAAAATAATAAGAAACCAAGAGATTTAAGTTTTTATTTATATTAATGTTTTATTTTTCTTTCTCATAAACGTATTATGTTTGTGCTCTTCTTGTTGTATGTTGTAAGTATGTTTTACTGCTGTGTTACACGAGCCTTGCGCAAGTAATAGATATATTAGATATACAATGGATATGCACTTAAGTTGATCAGAAACAAATGACAATTAAACCTGCAGTCTCGAGAGAAAACTCAATTTGTTTTAAAACTGCTAACCCCCACCGTATTTTCTCCGTCTCATCTTCCACGTCAAAACTTTTATTTTGAAAATGTCTGCCACCGGAAACACTTGATGAGTGGATCCACCGGTTTTCACTTCCTACATGTCCACTGCTAACAGAGCTGCACGATGAAAATACTAACTTTATTAGGATTATTTTCAGCATGCTTTTTAGCAAACAGCATCAACATCGAGGTGAGTTTATTATTTTCACGTAGCTCCGGTTTTCCCTTCGGTTTGTTGCATTTTTAGGTAGAAACATCGTTGTCATGTTAGCCAGCCCTGCTGTCATGCTAGCTTTGTTGATGCTGAATATACTTGCTTATATGACCCCAAATCCCGATAAAACATAAATAATTATTCACCTTCTTTCGGTTATTTCACAGAATAGCGCAGGGCAGTTCTTCAGCAGTGGGCATACGAACAATTGGGCCGTTCTGGTGAGTGTTTTTTTATTTTTCAGGTTGAGTAAATGCTAATAGATGATGTTAGGAACAACAGAAGACATATATGTGCATCTTCTTCATTTGCCTTTATTAACAGGTGTGCACATCCAGATTCTGGTTCAACTACCGACATGTGGCAAATACTCTATCTGTGTACAGAAGTGTGAAGAGGCTGGGCATCCCTGACAGGTAATAATAATAATGATAACAATGATAACAACTTGATTTGTATAGCACCTTTTAAAACACACAGTTGCAAAGTGTTTAAAACCACACATTTAAGGTAAGAATATAAGTTCCAGCACACAGACAAACAAACAAGCATATGGTGTTGCTATGGTCAAATATAATGGGAGAAATATTAGGGAAAACCAACTACTGATTCAGCCCATTTCATAGGCTGATGAAAACTTGTGTGGCTTCTAATATAAGAGCATGCTTAAGAGACCCTGTTCAGACAGTTGGAAGGACTGGCAATGAAAGGCTTTATATGTTGTTAATAATAATTTTAAAAAGCATTCTGCATTTCACTGGAATCCAATGAAGGGAAATAAGAATAGGGCTTATATGTAGGTGCCTGCTAGTTTTTAGAGGCAACCTAGCAGTTGTGTTCTGGGCTAAGGAGGAAATGCACATGAAAAGTGAGTTATCAAGGCATTTGAAAATAAAAGTGTGTATTGAAAGTTCAAAATTACTGGATAACAGTAAATGTTTCACTCACCTATGGTCACCAGCTGTGGGTACAAGCAGCAGAAATGGGCTTCCCCTGAATTGTGGCTAGCCTCTCCCTTAGAGATAGGGTGAGAGGTTCAGTCATCCGGGAAGGGCTCAGAGTAGAGCCGCTGCTCCTCCATATTGAAAGGAGCCAGTTGAGGTGGTTCGGCATCTGATAAGGATACCTCCTGGGTGAGGTGTTCGGGGCATGTCCCACCGTGAGGAAGCTCCGGGGCAGACCCAGGACACGCTGGAGAGATTATATCCCTCGGCTGGCCTGGGAACGCCCTGGTGTTCCCCAGGGCAAGCTGGAGAAGGTGGCTGGGGAGAGGGAGCTCTGGGCCTCTCTGCTTAGGCTGCTGCCCCTGCTTCTCAGCCCCGGATAAGCGGAAGAAGATGGATGGATGGATCATAGTTAAAAAAAGAAAAAAAAAACAAGACTGGATGAGCTTTGAGGTGTGATATGCAAATTTTAAATGCTCAAAATATTATCAGGGTTCTTAGCAGATGATCTGTATTTATAACAAGAGAGCTGATGTAATAACTGACCTCTAGGGGTGGCTGTAGCTCAGGTGGCAGAGCAGGTCAGCCACTAATCAGAAGGTCAGTGGTTCGATCCCAGGCTGCCTCCTGGCTGCATGCCAAATATCCTTGGGCAAGATACTAACCCCATGTTTGCCTACTGGTGGTGGTCAGAGGGCCCGGTGGCGCCAGTGTCCGTCAGTGCGCCCCAGGGCAGCTGTGGCTACAATGTAGCTTGCCATCGCCAGTGTGTGAATGGGTGAATGACTGAATGTAGTGTGAAGCGCTTTGGGGTCCTTAGGGACTAGAAAAGCACTATACAAATGCAGGCCACTTACCATCTCTATACAGAAGTTTTTAGGGCGAACACGAGAATTTAAATTTTGCCAGGACTGAGATGAGGTATTTGAGGCCGAAAAGGCTATTGAGGTTGTTAAGCTTAGCCAAAAAGGACCATTGTGTATTATAAGCATAGAAATAGAAATGAGTTATCCTGGTCACTGTAGTATTAAAACGATTAATCAGGTTGTTGAGTCACACAATCATGTAAGGTGTAAAAATAAATTTCACTTATAATAGCAAAGACATTTAAAATTTGAGGAATTGAAACATATTTTGGTTCTATATGGTAGTTAATGAAATATTTTTGGATTTTAGACATTCTGAAGAGGTCAAGTTGATCAGTAGGTAAATTTATAATGGGGACCTTTCAATATTTTCATGCATGATGAAGAGAAACCAGTTTATTAGACATTATATTTTCCAGAGTAATCAGTGTTGAAAATATGTGACAGTTGCAGTCATTTGGAGATATTTTAAAGACTCAATAACATAAATAGTCTTTCGGCATAATAATTATTATTGCTGGATTTAACAAGATATAGCATATTATGCGGTTGCTTTCTGAAAGAAATATGTATTCTGACTATCAATTAATTAATCTTAGATTATATTTCTGTAATTGAACAATCATTTTTAATTATCATTGTGTATTCAGTAGTTAAGGGAGAAATTTATTCATCCCAGCAGGTGAAGCGTTTTGTAAAAGTTGCTCAAAAATTGATTAAAAAGAGGTACAGTAGAAAGAGGAACTGTGTAACTGGACAGTTACTGCAATGAAGAAGCTCATGCTGTTAGTCTTTGGCTGAACCCCTGGCTAGCCAGAACATTGTTTAGAGGGTATGGGATATTTTACTGGACTTTCAGAAGAGTTTTGACATTGTCCTGCTCACTATTATTGCACATCGATTGTCCACGGCCACATCCAGGGCCGAAGCGGACTTCTGAATAAGTTTACTGAGTCTATGGTGCTGTCCATTGTTAGGCTTGGCTTTAGCTGAGAGCACCTCAGAACATGCTGTCCATTCTACAAGGTGCCTGTATTGTGTCAAAATGAATTAAGTGAGTGCTCAAAAGTTTTTCCACAGCCTACTTTGGTTTGTTGTTTGTTCTGGGGCCTTTCCCAGATGGAGAGCTGCGGTAAAATAAAACATCCATCGTGGAGAAAATGGCAAATACGTTTGACAAGGTCTGTTTTGTGTAGAAGGGCACCAGTGGCAACAGGATGAACAAGTGTGCATATACTAATAAGTTTTCATTTTATTTCGAGATAGTAAAGTTTCAGAAATCAGTCCTGGCTCTGGAGAGTTACACAGTACTTGTGGTGGTAGTGCTGTTTAGCGATTGACTGTATGATTGGTGGGAGCAAATGTCAAAAGTTTCAAAATATTCAACAGCTGGTCCAACTGTAAGATCAATAAACAAACTGATGCAATTTAATTTTCAGGCTAAATGCATTATCCATCATAACATAACAGTTAACGTGTTTGATAGCAGCCATTGTCCTTTTACTTATTTCAATATCATCATATTAACTCTGTTTTTTCTCTTTTTTTAATCACCAGCCACATAGTTCTGATGCTGGCTGATGACATGGCTTGTAACCACAGAAATCCCAAACCTGCTACAGTGTTCAGTCACAAAAACATGGAGCTGAATGTGTATGGTGACGATGTGGAAGTGGACTATCGAGGTTATGAGGTCAGTTCAGGTGTTTACACCTCACCTTCATTCTGTGAATCAACACTTATGTTAGCCTTATGTTTATCAACAAGCCCTGAGTGATTTTTAAAGTCTAAATGCAAAAATTGGGTATTTTGAAGCCAGAGAAAGATGAATCGCTTGAGCATAATCACAAATGTTCATGACTGTTTGGCATAAATTGTAAATATTTTCCTACCCCAGACAGTTTGATTCTGCTCAGCTTGTTATATAAACATTTATTGTGATTTATGTGACAGTCTCACATGCTGTGTTTCACCTTCAGTGTTGCGTTAAATAACTTGAGGAGAAACGGATTATGTCCAAGGCAACATTTTTATTGACCAGGACATTTTATAATCTACACGTCTAAAATGGGGCCCAGCCGGTTTTTATTTATTTTTCTGATTATTATGGACTAAGGCGAGTTCGTTGTTTTTTGACGACTCACTCTGTTTTGTGCCTTTTTAAAAATACAATGACACTGTACTGCCCGTCTTTGTTTGCTGTCACACCACATTCATGTGCAACAAAAACCAATAATCATTAAAAAACAGAGGAAAAAAAACTCAGATAGGAGCTGATTATCAAATTTTAATTAAAGGATAAGTGGAGAAGATCAAAAATGTGGTCACTTACTGATCCTACCAATGACAATTTAAATATTACGAATTGACTTTTCATCACTAACTTTTCTTTTTACTGGCTTTTGTTTTGTATAGTTTCAATCTTTGAATAGTTTTATTTAACAACTAATTTACTACTTCCTGTCAGAGACAGATGGAAAATGACCACAGGTTTGTACCGTGTGTGCCTTAGGTAACTGTGGAGAACTTCCTGCGAGTTTTGACTGGGCGCCTGCCTCCCAGCACACCACGCTCTAAACGCCTCCTTTCTGATGATCGAAGCAACATCCTCATATACCTGACAGGTACTTAAAGGGAAAAAATGTACCTATGAAGTTGAAGTAATTAAAGTTGAACAAAGTTGAATTAATTATTTTTAATCTGTGGATCTGTGGTTGATTAACAGGCCACGGTGGGAATGGCTTTCTGAAGTTCCAGGACTCTGAGGAGATTAGTAATGTGGAACTGGCAGATGCTTTTGAGCAGATGTGGCAGAAAAGAAGGTAAATAAACTGAAAAGTGACTTCAAATAATCCCGTTTGTCAGGTCTACTTTACTTGTTTTTTCTTTGCCCTGCAGGGCATTTAGCTGTGCAGCATGCCAACAAGCATTTAACAGCACAAAACATCACAGCCTATGAGTATTATAACTTTATCAGGAGGTTCCCATTCTGTTGATTCTTTATAACAAGCAAAACAGATGATTATAAGAGATGTGTTACGTTAAATTGATTCTCTTATCAAGGCTTTGTGTGTATCAAATGACTTCAGTGGTTGAAAGAGTGCTGTCAGTGCAGTGAAACTGTATACTCTCTATTCAGGCTTTTTTAAAAATAGCTTCAGCTCAGCTTGAAAGGTAGTGCTGGGCTTTCAATTGTCATTGGGAACATCAACGTGTAGCCTTGATAGTTCTTTTTTTCCTGCCTGTAAATTGTAGATTAAGTTTTATATGCAGTAGGAATACAGTAGTTAAATGAGGAGCTGAATGTGTGAATCTAAAGGGCTAACTTGAAGGCCATGAAACCATATGTATATTTAAAAAATCTTTAAATTTCATTGTTTAAGTATTTTTCTTGCCTATTGTACATTTGTGATGAAAGCAAAAACTTGCAGGAAAATATTCACAGATAATAATTTTTAACTGGTTGAACCATCTATCCATGAGTTTTAACATTTATCTGGGCCATATTTAGTGAGTAATTAATAAATTAATAGGAATTGTTATCAATCGGTTTGAAACTAACAATTTTTTTATGTATAGCTGAAGCTGAAGCTGTTGGATGTCTAGTTTTGTTAGTAAAATAAACAACGACAAATCTATGAACAATGATTCGCTAATGCGTGTGTGGCAGACACAAGGTTTCTAGGCCATATCTGGTCCTTTGCAAAGTTTAATCCGGCTAGCGTATCACTTCAGATCCGTCCCCCTTCGTTGTGTCTGTATGCCACACTAAACAGACGGGCACACTGCAGCTGCAAAATAACAAGCTAGCTCACAGAAAATGGCACAGAATATAAAAGCTGACTCTGAAGGCATAAAGAGTGACCTGTGTATATTTGCATTGAGATGACTGCTGTTTTCAAAGAATGAAATTTGCTTTGCCTTGAATCTGCACATCAGCACAGAAACGGAACCAAGGACGGTGAAAATGACTAAAGCATACTGTACAGTACGCTTTACTGTAGCTGGGTTTCTTCCAGCTAAATCTAGAGGTTTTACTTTTAGCTTTGTGAAATTTCACATTTCAACCATTGGGTAAGATTTGTAGAAATATATGGAAAAATAAAATTACAGATTCAGTATTTTGATATATGTTTTAATGTTAAATGCTCCAAACCACTGTAATGAGAGTGCATTATAAACATTGCACTATTTGGCCTGGGCTTCACTTAAGCCAACTTGTACATGTGAAGACTATATTGGACTTGCATTTTCAGTTTAATTAAAGAATTTCAGTAAACTTGATCTCACCCTTAATGTGGTTCTCATTTCCCAGCGTGATGTCAAATTGAATTTGACACCCCTTAGCGAATGAATTAACTAAGGAATCATTTCAGGTGGAAATTTTATGAGTACAACTGGAGTAGAAAAAGAAACAAACTAATTGTTGAACTTAGTAAATAGATCGTATTGTCCCTTGTGGCCTTCATTATCTATTTTAATTTTATACTTTAGACCATGTGATCGTGTTCTATGTGGGATAAGCTAGGGATTACAAAGTGTTAGCACAGCATTCTCTGTATTAGTACTCTTGAAATTACCTTGAACTTGTCATGTTTTCCTAAATTCTTCTAAAAGTAGAGGCTGTTTTGTTCTGTAATTGGGGTTACTATTTAAGCCACTGCTTTGCTTAATTTGTAAATCACGAGATGGTAAATGAGCTTTCACCTTGCTGCTGCGAGTGCCTCTATTGTTGTCCAAACCCATTATCATCCACGGTGAGTGTCTGGGTTACAGTCAGGCTCCAGGCTACTGGATAAAAGCTCAGTGACGCCAGCTTTCATGCTGATGTGATAATTGCAGGGTTGAACTGCTAAATTACAGCCACCGAAGAGACCTCCCTTTATCATCCCCAAACCACCTCGATTAAGTCTACTGGATGTGACAGTCTCTACATGTTTGTCTAAACAGGGGAAAGAAGTTGTAGTGAAATGTAGTGTTTTGTAGGAAAGGAGGATGGAGGGAAGGGAAAGGAAGGGGGTGGTGGTTAAGCTGTGTGCGTGGGAGTGTTAGCAGGACTGAATGGAGTTGTTGGTTTTTCTTGGTCACCATGGTAACTGCAATATGAAAGATGGTTAGAAGGTTTGTGTGATATCTGTTTATTGGAACAAATGGATGAGTGTTATGCCAGCTGTGCATTCTCCCATCAGTTTTGTTTGAGAATGTGTATGATCCTCTGTTTGTTCGTGTGTGTGCGTGTGTTTGTCTCCAGGTACAACGAGCTGCTCTTCATCATTGACACCTGTCAAGGCGCCTCCATGTATGAAAGATTTTACTCTCCAAACATCATGGCTTTGGCCAGCAGTCAAGTTGGAGAAGACTCCCTGTCGGTGAGTTATCTTCCCTCACATGGAAGATGAATTAAAAATCATCCATCAGCTTGTCAGACTCTCTAATAAGCAGTGTGATTTCATAGCACATTGCACTAGCTTGATTTCTGTGTTCATACGCTCTCACCCCCCTGCAACACCAGTCAGTGTTACTTGAAATAGTGTTGCACTTTTGAATTTTTATTCAAATGTCTTCTCTCTTTTAGCATTCAAACTAAGAAAGGTCTGCAAGAAATATGACATGTTACAAGTTCTTCATCACACTAATAATTATCAGAAACCTACTAGCTCTGCACTGCACTCAAATACAAGAACAATGCTGCTTCTTTTCCCCCCTCTTCTTCCACATTTTACACAATACTGACCTTTTGCTTGAGACGTATAGCTTAAAGTGCAAATCCCTCCACTGCATAATTTAGTTAGAAAAATCCTGAAAAGTCTTCAAGAGGCAGTGAGGGCAGGAGCTGAGGGGGGGAAACTTGCTCACTCTTTCTCTGCTTTGCACTGTTGATGGACCAATCTAAAACTGTGCTCAGTTGTGCGTTGTGTGTTTGTGTGTGTAAGTTACAGAACCACTGTAAAAACACTGAAATGGCCAAATAGGGGATTAACAGAATATAACATAACAAACAACCAAAGAAGACCTTATTTATTTGCTGAACAGAACGTATTTACTGACATGGTTTATTGTGGCTATAAATATTTGTTTTTGGACTGTTCTAGAGAACTTTCTTCAGCTTGGCTCTGCTTTTCTAACAAACATATCGTTGCTCTATGGACTGACAGCAAGAATGAGACAACGTAGGATTTTGAAATTAATACTGTAGGCCTCAACTGTAGGTAGGTATCGCGGCTGATACTAAAGTTCAAATCTCAGTGACGCTGACCGTAGGATTAGAAGCCGTACATCACGTTTTCTGTGAATCTTGTGAAAGCAATAACTCAAGGAGTTCACCTAGGATTTTTCAATGGGCTTTAAAAATCTTGGACGAGTTCAAATCTCAGTCACCTTGACCTTAAGGTCAGAGGTCAAGTTTTCTGAAACTATTGTGAATGCGAAAACTCAAGAAGGGTGTAGGATTTTGAAATTGATATCATAGGTGTATCTACTACGATGCTGAGGGGTGGCACTGGCAGGCACTATTATTTTTACATTATCAGCTAATGACTTCAAATTGTCAGCTGTGCATAGCTAATACTATGCAAGCTTTCAAAGCAGCTGTAATTGCTTTATATCACAGCGTTTTTAAATTTAAAATATCAAATGACTGAACAAAAAATATGAAACTAATATTTAATTTCATGATGAACTGAACCTAAAGATAAAGATGTATTTACAGCCTTGGATTGTGTGAGGGGATATTTACCTGATTCAGTGTTTAGCTTTGTGCTCCACAACCTTATTGATCTGCTTCACTTTTTCTGCTCTTATAGCAGCGTTTTGTCCAAAGCAGCTGCTTCCAGTGGAAAAGCTTAAAACACACACACTCCTCTACCTGCTCCACACTGAAGAGCATACAGAGTAAGACACTAGTCTGTAAACATATCGGAGAATCAAGAAATATGAGAACCGGATATTTCCCTTAGGAGCCGTTAGAGACCACAGTGGAGCTTAAAAAAGCGTGAATATTGGATTTAAACAGGGGGTGATATGTCAGTGCTGTTTGCATTTTCCATTTTCACACCCCCAGGGGGTTGAAAACTCTTACTTCCTCCGTTATTGGAGATGGATTAATGGATGGATAGACAAAGCACTTAATTAATCCCAAAGAGAAACTGCATTGTTACAGAAATTATCCATCCATTTTCTAAACTACTTTTCCGGTTTGTTTTATTCAGGGTCACAGGGGGACTGGAGCCCATCTGAGCTGTCACAGGGCAACAGCAAACACCTCAACTCCCCCAATGTTTTAGTTGTATAACTAACAATTAAATTAAAGGCTAAACTAAATATACTCTAAAATATATAACAAATATAAATAAAGGAGAAAAAAATGTCTGTCTGCAATACAGCAGAAACTGAAACCTCTGTGTACTTTAAGATAATGAATATCACTCATGAAGCTATCCTGCTGCCACAAGTCTCTAATTCATTTCCTTTCACACACTTGTGCTGTGACAATCGTTGTTCAATTTCAATGCCAGGTGACACTTATCAGATTTTGATACTGTACAGATTTGCAACGGAAACTATAACTGACTAACTAAAGAAAAAGTTCCATAAATTGTTACTTGGGATGAATTTTATAATACAAATCTGTGAATGTTGGTGTGGATGTGTATTTTAAAAGACTGTAAGTGTTCATTGTGTAAAAGTGTAGAGGTTTGATTAATGAGCTAGAAGTAAAAATGCCACCGCAGCGCCCATTCTAGCAACTATTCTTATCCTTTACATTTTTAAAATCTGTCTCATTCTAGCACCAGCCAGATTTGGCCATAGGAGTCCATTTGATGGATCGTTACACGTTCTACATGCTGGAGTTCCTTGAAGACATCCATCCTGCAAGCAAAACCAACATGAATGATCTGGTGAGCCTCTGTTACCGTGTGTGTCCAGTATGGTCACAACTTCCTCATACCTGTTTGCAGGAAATCGCAATTTCCTGAACCACAAAATAAAATTCTTGTTATACTCTTTAAAATACGTTAGGGGTGTTAATGCAAATTTAAGTTTACAGTTGTGCTACTTCTACTTGAGTGACAGAAAGGAAGAGATTTTCTCTGGTGTCTCACATTTTGAACACCATCGTTTTATTTGTTATACATTCATTTGTAGTTACTGCAACAGAACATAACAAAAAAGGTATGCAGATTTTTATTAGATTGACTATTTTGAAAGTCAGCTTTTAAAAGGAAGGATGTGGCAATCAGCACTGCTGATACCTGAAGCAGTGTTTTTCTTGTACTGTCCTCTTCCTCTGTCTGTGGGCCAAAAGAAGTCAGATAAAAGTCACACAGGTCACACTTGAAACAGAATATCTGATACGGTGTTGCAGTCGTTGGCCTTTGACACATCAGGGTGGAAATGGTGAGTACATGTTGCTCTGGTCCATGACTCAGTCTCAGCAGCAACTCCTTTTTCATCTTTTAGCCTCGTGCGGCGATTCAGGCCACAAGGACCACTCCTCATCTGCGTCACCCGGAGTTATGCTCAAAGCACCTCAGATCGTTACTCTGGCACTCTGTGTGTTTTGACACATGCTTATTATTTTTTTCTTCCAATTTTTCTGTTTCTGTAGACTCTCTGTTGTGCCTTTTCAGGGAATTAAGGATCAATACTATGGATTTTCTGGATGAGCCCTCTGAGTTTTCGTTCTTGTTTTTTCCCCCCCCGATCCAAGCTGCAAAGTCGTGCCATTTGCTGTACTTTTCAAGTCCTGTCTGGCTGAGGAAATAATGTTGACCTCAGTTATGTGATTTTTATATTCTTTTCGAGCAGAAAACAACACATTGATAAACTCACATAGGATTCATTCACAAGTGGTAACATAACAAGTGTGCTAAAAATTGTAATTGGCAAGGACATGCACAAATGTCAGGCACAGTGCCTCTAATCTGTTTCTCACAGTGTCACACCTCCCAGAGCAACAGCTCAATACTAGCTGCAACTGGAACTTGGAATTGGTGGTGCAAAAAGGAATAAATCTAGTATTGTGTCTTTGTGCAGAGCTGACCTGTACATGCAAGTTATGCTGCTGCTAAAGCTGTCATTGTCATGAAGCGAATATTTATATTTAGAGAGACATTGTTAGTTGTTTTTGTTCTAAATAGTTTGAATAAACAGATATCTTCATATACATATCCAGAATCTGCATGCATAGGACACTGGGACACAAAGCTTGGTGGTTTCCATCTGCAGCCTGCTTGTATCCAGAGTGCCATCAACCAATTAGGGATTGTGTTATCTGTTGTCCAGAAAATTGTCGGTTTCCCTCAGCAACTGTCAGTGGACTAGCTGACTGGCTCCCAAATAGAGATCCAACGTGACAGAAACCACAAATTTAGAACAATGTTGAATATTCCTAATGTGAAATCTTTGCTGTCTCTGCCTCCACAGTTCAAAGTGTGTCCAAAGAGTCAGTGTGTGTCCACTCCAGGCCATCGTACTGACCTGTTCCTGAGAGATCCTGGAAGTGTTCTCATCACAGATTTCTTTGGTAGTGTCCGCAAGGTTGAGCTCACCATGGATGCCATCAACTTGACTGACCCCATCAAGCAGATGGAGGAGAAGTAAGTTTAATTTATTTGTTTTTTTGTTAATGGCAAAAGGTATGCATCAATCAAACTAGAATAAAAACAGGATGGCAACCTGCTAGAAACTAAAAATCCGTGGGTGCCTGGTGATTAACTTTGCATTTGGCAAAAAAGTAGCAGAGGTCTAGAATGCAACACACTCAACCTTTTGGTCTATGAGGTTCTGGCTGGGCAATTAATTAAAGTAATCTGTTAAGTAGTATAAGTTAATGTGACTTTGAATATGTAAATGGATACAGATTTGCGATTTCTTTTCAGCTATTTATGGTAGTTAATCACTGTATTATCTGATTGCATCTAATTTCCAACTTATTGCCGTTTTATCACCTTCTTGATGGACCGAGGTTGAGTGGTTGCAGACCTTGTCCCCCCTCTTTGAAACAATCATTTCAAAGGCAATGGCACTGCGAGTTCATTGCATGCAATTGCAATTATTTTGGCACCACTGTTTTCCCAAATGTGACTGTAGCATTAAAGATACTTGTGCAAAAATAAGTTGTTCACAAATTGTTTCCAGCTTTTCAAAATGAACTAAAGGTAACAACAGAAAGGGAGATTAAAGGTAGATATTAAAGGGATATGAAATGAAGTTGAACATGGGCTGGGCTGTACTTTCATGATGACATGAGGGTACAGCAAGTCAGTGTCAACTTTGTTTACTAAGCAAGTCATTTAGAAAGCCTTATGTATAATGGAGACCTGGATAAGGCAAAGCCTTTTGAGCAAATGATGAAAAATAAATATCTGAAATAGCCACTGGTATATAACACTGCCTCCTGGTGGTTACAGTTTTACATTACTTTTAATAATCATGTAATAATCATTGCAAAAAAAGGGTAGGCAACTTGCGAGTGTTGCATGTGCTGAAAAAGAGTGTTTGTGTGTGTGTGTGGGAGGGGGGTGGGAGGGGGGGCGACCCTTATAAAATACTCTCATTTAGGCCAGCCTCACTGCCAGCAGCCAAATTCATTTTGTGTTCAGTTTCCAACTAACCAGCCTTTGATTTCTGTTTAGTACACCTCCCATCAGTGATATTGATTCCTCTGCTAATGATGTGTTGATTGGCCTGTTTCTGGAAGATTAAAGCACTCAGTGGCTGTCACTATGACTACCATGTGGTGGTTTTAAGACCTGATTGTAAAGTTGACCAATGACATGTTTGTCTTGGGTAATGGTGCTGCTCATTTAGAACGCATTTACTGCTTTTATAATCAATAATGACACTGAAAACATTATTTCAGAGAGAAGCGGAGCTCATAATTGGGCATCTTCATTGTCAGCCTTCAGACTTAATCCAGTCTGTCTTCATAAGTGGCAGTGAGTAATGAGCAGTGTTTGCTTTAGATGATCTGTGGCGCTACCCTGTGGTGAATTGCACATATCCAAATTGGTGCATGCTTACATTTTGTGATAAATAGGTTGAGCCACTAGATGGCTGTAGAGAGCTGTCAAACCTTTTCTCTGTGCCTCACGATGTATTGTTTGCTTTATCACCAAGCTCCACTAATGCCATAATAAGCACAATCATCAGGAGTTTTAGGAAGCACACAGCTATTGCAAACAGTTTCCATACACTGATTCTCTAAGCTGCAGGAACGGATGTTTACTGTGTTCAACCTAAAGATGCAATGGGAATTTAACTTTATTAATGATAATACCACCACTCCCCCAACCCTTTGTATTAATTTCATTAACTGGGTTTTAATTGAACCACTGGGAAGTATTAAAGAATCTAATGTGGTTGGCTGCTAATTAGTAATTAGAGGCAATTGCAATACTGATTTTAGTCATTGGCTGTTTGTGGCCCCGGGCAAGTTACTCATTGCACACAACTTCCCCTATTACTTTAATATCGATTACAGCCAGCACATTAGTCCTGCTGATCCTCATGCAGCACAGAAACACCAACACAATGTTATTGAGCTAGCTGTTGGCCTAATTCAGTCCTAGAGAGAGACGTTTTTATCTCCATTTCTGATGTAAGAACCAGCAATCACCCGATCCATTTGAAGTTTAACAGCACTAAGTTTACTGATTCACCAAAGTGCTTGCAGTGTCTTTGTACTTTGTTGATGTTGGGAAGACTAACAACATTTATTGTCATTTTGTACGTCCTCTCAGGGTGTTTCCTCAGCCACATTCGGACTTGACTGATAATGCGGTGACAGGAAGCTTTCTGTGCTTCTGTTGGGTCTGGACAGCATTGTAGCAGTGGAGAGATTACAATACAAGCATGTGGAAAATAATAGCCATGACCTCATTACTGCAATAATTTAAATTAATGTAGTCATCAGCGTTGGCATTAATAAATAATTATTCATAATTTAACGTGTGAAGATGTTTAAAACCTATTAAGGGGTCTTTGTGAATGGAAGGGTTCAACGTGTTTGCAAGGTTTTACCAGTGTAAAATATTACATGTAATGGAATTAGACTATTCAAAGGCTGATTATCCATAACTGGCCATGAAATAAGAGTTAAAAAAGCAATTTTTGACAGTTTTGCAAAGTCTTAGCACTCGATATGTTCTGTTTTTTTTTTCTTTCTTTTTTTTGATTAAATGTTAGAAGGTGTGTGTCAGGAAAGAAAAGGTTTCATTTTAACAAAAAAATATATATTTGCAGGGCTAATGAATTTCAGGAATAGAGAGCCCAGATTTATGCAGAGATGCCTATTTAAAATGCAAAGTGTCTCTCTATACTTGAATCAAAGAAAGATGAGCAAGAGTGCCAAACAATAAGGCAGTTGAGGCTGTAATTATTAGTGTGGTGGTGGTGGGGGGGCATCACAGGTTTGCTCTGGGTTTTATTAACATCACTTACCTCAGTTGATTGATTTTGTTGTTTGAAAAAGAAAAAGCGATTCTTTAGACTGTTTTGCTATTTTTATAGAAGAAAATACATTTTTATGGGTTTTCACATTTGAAAAGCGAGGAGCTGAAACCAGCTTATCTTTGTACTGTGGTAAGCCCTTTTCACACATGAATTTTGGACAGGTTTGGGAGAAACGGGTCGGGATATTTTCCACAGTTGTCCTTTGTCACGTGTAGCAAACAGCAAGCAATAGTCCTCTTCAAATGTGTTTGCACTCCTGAAAATACTCTTTGCAGTTCAGGTGAGGGAGCTATGTGGATAGAGCATGCAGGAGGCACCAGACTATTACCTGCACAATGGTGCAATCGAATATCATGCAGCCTTTGTACAAGGGAGACCAGCTGATGTCCAAACCTGCTGTATCTGATACATGTCTGTGCTGGGCGCATGGTTGAAAACAGTGATGAATGCCTGAAAGAAAAAATAAGCAAGAAAATGTAGTATATTCAGTTAGTGTTGATCTCTAATTGATCTTTATTTACAACCATATTTAAAGTAACCATGCTGCATGCTTTAAGAGTATTAAATCCCATGAATTGGCACTCCCCTGAGAAACCAACCTTCACCCTTTTGCCAGCACTTCTGGATCATCTCAAAAAGCAATCACTAAATTGATGTCAGAAACTGGATCTTTATGAAACCTTTGTCCAGATGTCGTTGCGAAAGTTAGAAAATTGTGTTTCATAAGACCTGAAAATGGGTTGTAGTGAGCTCAGTGTGTTCCCACATAGAGAAGATCACAGATGTCCTCGGAAACAAGCTGTTATTAAATATAGTGCTGCTTTAATCCACTTTTGTCAGCTTGTTCTGCCTCTCAGACAAGTGGAGGAGGACATTTAGAGAAGATGTGTACATGTGTGCGAGTGTACACATGTGCCTCTCTCATTTTCTAGCTCGCATTTGCCTCTCTCACTCCCATATCCTCTCGTGCATTTCCAAACATCAATTTCTTCCTCAGAACAAGCCCTTACATTAAGTGAATGGCACTTGATGGTGAAGACGTTTTAATGGACCCTCTCGATCCGCAACGTTATACATAAGCTCAACACTGTAATGACATTGTGTAGTTCCTCACTCTCAGCCATCGGTGGTTGTTGACCGTAACACGTCCTCCTCTGGGCTACACGAGCTCCCAGAGTAATTACAACTATCAAATTAAGCTGAATTCATATCCCATTGAGTATAAAATATACTTAATGTAATTTGTGACCTGCAGGACTGGATTGTGTCTGCAAAAACTGCTTGAGCTGCTGGCAGAGTAAAAAAAAAAAAAAAGGAAATTTGTTTAACCTAAAGACTGCAGCTGGAGACGGCATTGATATCAGAACTAGAGAGGTGGGGGATGAATGCAGGCACATCCCTTTTAATAAGCAGAGAGGACTTATAATGCCTCTCCAAAAAGGTCTTTGTGGAAAATAAAGTAGAAAGTAGTTTGAATTGAATTAGAGCTCATTTCTAATGTTGAGGAAAAAAAGGGTGGAAGATCCCAGCGGTGACACATCTGTGCTTTCAGTGACATGTTTCTTGTGGCAGAGAAGCTTGGCACGCACCGAAGGCTCAGCAGGAAGTTGGTTCCCTGCTTACCAGTCCATACCCTTTTGCTACTATCTGTTTTGTGTGAACACCTTCTTCTCTTCATCACACGCGAGAAGAGACTGTGTGTCTGTGTCAGTGTGACATGAAATGGCCAGAGAGAAAAATGATGGGTAAAAGTAACTTTGAGTGAAGAAAGACACAAATAGAAGAACAGGTTTCAATCATCAAGTGGCTGGAGGTGTGTCATGATGGCTCACAGGGGAGATGTGGCTCACTTTGTCTGACCTAAATTTTGCCGAAAGACGGTCAGTCCTGAACCTCCACTTGACGGTAAACCTTAGCTCTGACCCCCGTTTGACTTTGTGTCAGAATTTTTTATTTTAGGCTTGTTTGTAACTTTCAAGGTTGTTGTCATCCGGACATGGGTGACTGTCAGGTTGATGTACCTCGTGGATTTATTCAGACAAACCCCCTAACAGAGCTACTTTACAGGTGCATTTTGTGTCATATGTACATTTAAACAAATGACTGTGTTTTTATGGTGTATGGTGCTGTAGCTTGTGAGGGC